ATATATTAATGTATAATATAAAAAATTTAATTATTGATTTACCCTACACAATAAAACTTATATAATATTAATAATTAATATTATTAATATAATATTAATATTTAACGCGAGACAAGAAAAGAAAGCCGCGATTATATTTTCAATAATAAACTCGAACGAACTAACACGTTTGGTGACGTGTTTCTTAAAGGAAGCTCATGAAATTGAATGGCACGATGAAATAGCTTTTACTCAACCTTAAACATCTCGTCGATAATTATTCTCTTTTGTGAAATGTGCCTTGTAAAATATGCGCCAACGTGAAAATTCTCGTAACTCGTTGTGAGTGACGAAGCTTATGTATAGAGGTGCTTTTAGTAAAGGAAGGTTTGCAGGACGAATAAGACGATAGAGAAAACGATAGAGAAGGAAGAAGAATATTAATGAACGATTTTCTTCTTCCTTCTTCATCTTTCCTATTAACGTGTTCTCATTAATCTAATAAAATACTATGGGATAAATGACCTTTAAAATAACGCCTTGCAATATTCTCTTCGTTTGTAATAAACCCCCTAAACTATATTACGATTTTTCTCCTTCTTCTTCTTCTTCTTCTTCTTCTTTTATACCTTTCAAAATACAATAGATTGACAATTATTTTTTAATATTAATTGTTTTATCTAAATAAATTGTTTTTATTTTATTTTTTCTTCTTTGTTTTTTTTTTAACCCATTAACCCCTTAGAGTGCTATGGACACGTATATGCGTTTGGTAAAAATTACGAAAGTAGTCTATCGACGCATATACGTGTTTGTTAATATTAATATCAACTAATCTTATGTTTATATTAATTAATTAAATTATATAGCATTACGAATATAGATATTATAAATGAAAACTGGAAATGTACAGTATAGATTTTTTATTTGTACAGGTAATTATAACAATTGTTTTATTGGAAGCATAGTATTGAAAATAATGAATAATGTCATCTTTTACAAAATCGCAATATTATAGGTTCTGCTGGATGCGAAGTTATACCAAATTTCAGTTTAATATCTTCAATTGATACTGCATAATCTGTGTGTAGAGTAAATTTTCTTAATATGGTAGCAGCAATTATCTTGATTTTGAGCATAGCAAAATCCTGTCCTAAAAGAGCATTATTCAATAAACATGTAATTAACTGATCAATTCATTAAAATATTATTTCAAGAATAGATAAGTATATGTTATTACCTATACAGTTTCTAATCCCTCGGCTAAATGGCAGAAAATATTTTTTATCGAAGTTTCCTGGCAAAAATCGATCCGGATCAAATGTTAAAGGATTCTTCCAGTTTTTCTCTTTTCGATGAAGACCAATAATTGAAATAAGGACATAGCAATCTTTCGGTATAACCAAATTCTCATTCACTTTAGACGATACATAATTACACATTATTTTTACATAAAATAGTAATGTCAATGGAAAAAAATATATATAGAAAATATTTTATTATAAATGTACCTTTCGTATCTCTAGATGCAGTTCGTCCAATMAATGGAAYAGATGGAAATAATCGTAAAGTTTCTTTGATGACTCGCTCCAAATATTCCATTTTTTTAGTATCTTCCAATGTAATAGGATCATCACTTGAACCATACATATCGTATAATTCTTGATATGCTTGATTCTGCAACCAAAAATGCCCACGTGATACATGATACGTGATACAAATTTTGTATARAAATATATTTAACTTTTAAAAGATAAGGACAAATATAAATTAATTTTTAATCTATGCGTACTTGAATTTTCGGAAATGTTGCCAGCATTAAAAATAAGAATGCAATTGCATTAGCACTAGTTTCACTTCCCTAAAAAAGAAAATATAAAATGTCTATTATCTTTCATGGATAAAATAAAAAACTTTATCTTATTTAAAAAAAATAAAACTTACTGCAAAAATGAATGTATTCATTTCATCACGAATATCTTTTTCGGAATATTCTCCACCCTTGTAAAGTGATGTTAATAGCACCTCAAGAAATGGACTTCTGATTTTATCTTTATTATCAAGAGAATATAATATACTTCTTAGTATTGGTATAAAAGTATACTATTTATAAATTTATAAACATTAGAATATTTTATAAAATTGTTATTCTTACTTTCATCAACCCCTTTTGATTCTTGAAGAATATTACCTTCTTTCATTAATTCCTTTTTTTTCCTTATAATCTTCACAAATGAAAATTATTTATGTAAGTAAGATTTTATTTTGCTTAGCTATAGAATATTTATTAATAAAAAAAGACAATTACAATAAGAAAAATCATTTTACATGTACCTCGTATGTGATATTATCAATATWTAATCGAAGCTTCTGTAATCGCTTTCYCTGAGGCGAAWTGTTAAATATAAAATCCGGATGTAACCAGATTTTMATCATCCTTTCCATAATAATGWCAATGCCTCTGTTAAGTGTAAAAGTAAATAAATATAAAATAATATTGTATTATATTATAAGTATATAAATATTTTCTTTATTATTACTTCTCAGCGTATTCRGCATATTTTATTTCCGAATTGTTTTGTAAATCTAAATTACAATCCAATAGGCAATCTGTCAGTAGAAACAAAAAATCAATTTTTAATAAATTTTAATACGACGGTTTATTATCAAGCTTTCCAAAATTCTCAAATCTTACCGARTATTATATTAAGTGTACATGACAWTATATTTTTCATGATATCTACGTTTTTGCCATTATAAGTTTCTAAAATAGTTGCCAGTATATTTGAATTTTTAACTAYTCCGGCCATATAAGTTGAAAACATTTTTTGTTTGAATACTGGACCTAACATCRCTCGATGAATTTTCCAYATTGACGCTTTAAATAAGATAATATTTGTTACTTTAATTTGTTATGCTGGTTTTTCAAATATTGTATTTAGTAATTAAAACATAAAGAAACCTTAACCTATTATTTACCTGGAGCTGTAAKCAACCCATTACCAAMATAGGGTTTTACMAWGTCATAGTGTTTACTTYTTTTAAAATCATACKGATTGTTTGATATAATCTARAAGAAAATAAACATATTTTATCAACAATAAAATACAACGATTGAAAGAAAATTCAACATTTGTAAGCGAATTGTAAAGAGAGAATGATATTAATTCATATGAATCTTACCTTAATATTTTCAGGATCATCAAATATTAAGATTAATTTTGGGCCTATCCAAAGTCGCCAAGGTGAAGAATATGTTACAGATGACTTCGTTAATTTATAAGTTATATCTAAGACAATTTTATTTAATAGAAATAACAGAAGTGTATATATTATTAATATGAAAAAAAAATGTACCTTTCAAATCACCAAGAAACATAYATAAATTTCCGATCAAAGGATAAGCTTTAGGGCCTGGACAACTTTTCACCATATTAATTTCCCGAAATTTATTTTTTAAGTATTTAATAATGYTGAATAATATAATTACAAATACTGTTAAAGCAATAATTTTAATAATATACCACATGTTTAATTAAAAAAAAAAATTAAAAATTATAAACTGAGTAAATRGTTTAAAAATACTGCTGAATCTCCTCTTTTAAGAATGGTTCAGTTATAAAATTACTATTACGCAACGACTTCTTGTATCTTCTATGTCTTGATAGAAAATAGGAAAAAGTGAAGAAACGGGGAGACTATTTAAGCAAGTCCAAGATTGTACTATGTAGTTGTGTCTCTCAAGGATGTTTATAACTTGTTTATACGAAATGAGAAAAAAAGCTGTATTTGTCTGATGGAAACTAATTTATTTTTCATATTTATATAAATATGCATCGGTTTATATAATATCATATAAATTATACTATTTATATAATACTATTATAATATTATATATTGTATAAATCGAAACAATATTTATATCGATAAAKTATTTTATATAAATTAAAAATATATAATATTATAAATTTTATATAAATTTATATAAAATTTACTTTTTTATTATTCGATGTAAAACATATAGTTTTGCCTATTCTGATAATACGTTAAATTTATTCATTAGAATAATTTACCTTTGATTGCACGTTTTTTTTTCGTCCTATTTGTTACATATTCCTATTACGTGTTTTACCATTTCATCTTATAATGATTAATTACGAACTCGTTAGGATATTTTCGTTTACKTTGTAGCTTTTTTATCTGCTAGAAAGAAAAAATTCATTTGTTAATTAGATAGGATAATAATTTTGTAAAATTATGAGGTTTTWTATGTTATATTTTTTACATTTAGAAAAAGATTATTGACAAGTTAAAAAACGGTTGCAATTAATCTTTCATACGTATAATGAAATTTCATGATTTTCCTCAGAATTTCAATATTTTTAATAGTAATTAGATTTAAATCTTGATGTATACAAAAATCCTTAAAATTTGTTTAAAGATTGTTTAATAAGCAAACTTTCTGCACATTTATAAAGATACTTTTTGCACATTTTCTGCACATACTTCATATTACAAAATTCAAGATTTACACGGTTTAATGATTAAATTGTTGTAAGATAAAATGAAATGTATGTCCTTGTTGTAACTCGTTACGTAAGATCGTAATTTAATCTGATATCATTCGCAAAATGGAAAAGTCAAAGACATACTAGAAAATTGTATACATGTATATATATATATATATATATATATATATATAGGTGAAACACAGACATTCCCATAGGGCTTTCATAGCCACACCTCATAACCCAAATACTAAAGGTACGAACCTACTAAACGGAGTATAATATAATGTTGTTAACGCGAACACCATTTAATATAGCTTGTAATACATTTACAAAGTTAATTAAATAATATTTCATTTAATGTTGTAATGGTTATTTGTTATATATATATGTATATATATACATTTTTATGTAATACTTGAAAATTCACCGTCAATATTGTTACGTTCTTATTTGTTTGCTTGTGAATTTATGTTAGATCGTTAAAAGAATGTTTAAGAGAGTTTTGCCTATTAACCGTAAGTCTCTTCGAGAACTATAGCGATAAACGCATTGTAAAACAGTGTATAACGGGGTGTCGAGGAAAATGAAATTGATTTTCCACGAACTAAAATAAAACAGTGTGCATATCACAAATATACATTTATTTTCAGCTATAGAATGTAACCACAGATGTTTAGAATCAAAAACTTTAGAGAATAATATTGGTAAATATTTATAACCAAATATTAAATGTGTTTCAATTACATTAATAGAATTAAATTTTAATTAAATAATTAATACAATTATTTTTACAAAAATATTAAATATAAACAAAATTCGTTTGATATGCAATGCAAATGTAAAAGAACATTTATTCACAGTACTTTTTATATATTATATAATATATTATATATAATATATAAAAAATAATATATTATATAATATAATATATAAGGTATAAAAGAATATATATATTTTTATTTATTTATACTTTTAATTTAATTTTAAATTATTTATATTTATATTTATAAATATAATTATTATATTATATAATATTATTAATATTAATAATAATGCTGTTTATATATTATTTTTATATTTTATTATTTAATTTATTTTTACTAATTTAATATTTAATATTATATAATATTATTTATTTTAAAATAATGTATTCATATTAATAATATTTATATAATAATATTATAATATTAATAATTATTTTAATATAATAATAATAAATTATAATAATAAAAATTTATAATATATATATATTCTTATTATTTCTTCTATTTATATTATATATTAATGTTATAGAATAAATATATTCGAATAAATATAATTACAATTTGAAAAATAATATAAATTTTTAAACATACATAGAAATATAAATACCGTATAAAATATATACGGAGGTGGAAGGAGGGGGAAGGGAAAAAAAGCGTAGTAGAACATCGAAGGTAGTATAAAAATGGGGTATATACACTTGGGTCTATGAAACGGACGATCGAATAACTCATTTAAAAGTCTAAATTCGTCGGTCGGCAAGAAACGACAATGGCGCGTGCTGGTATTGTAACCCTCTCCCTTCGAATGGAAATATGTATATTTACAGCTGTATTTTTCAAGCATAAAAGATAAATTGTTCATGCAAATGAACGTTCCAAAAGTAACAAACACCATACAACCTGATTATTATTTACTTTTTCTCTTTTTTTTTTTTTTTTTTTTATTTTCATTTTATTCTCTTTTTATAATTCATCTCCATTTGCTTCTTTAACATTCTTTTCCTTATATTTTTTTTTTTTTTTTTTTAATAAAAAACGGACAACGATTCGTTAACATTTTGTCATTGGATTCCTCGTTAATGTTCTTATGTTAGATTTTTCATGCTATCCTTATTTATCATTCACGTTTTATCTATACATTACATGATTGCATTTACTTTAAGTAAAAAGAATTTCTTTGTGTGAATTCATGCGAGACACGTCTTCCATAGTTACATCGATATACTTTGACGTGACTCGCATCAGAAAACTAGCAAAAATATCGCTTGTTGCATTTGCCCAATGAACGTTTTCATTTTTCTTTGAAATTTGACCTAAGTCACGTTTCAATGCTACTGCACTGCACTTTTATTTTTATTATTTTTTTTTTTTTTTCTCTACAACGGATCGATCGTCTTATTAGCATAACTTTTACTAACATTATTTTAAATTATTCGATAGATTTTCTTCTATATTTGTATTATTTTAATATTTATAACAAACAATTTTTGTACAAACAATTTTATTAATTATTTTTAAAATCGAATTGTGCAAACACCGAAAAGCGAAAGGTCCCGAGATCGAATCCTGGTCTAATTAACAATGACTAGGTTTAAACTGTGTTTTTATATGTTCCTTTACAAGATGAACTAGTAAACAAGCGGTTGTAATGATAATTGTGCTAATAGGATTAAAATATATACACATTTTATATATATATTATTTAAAATTTGACCAATGTAAAAAAAAGTGCAACGTTTAATACAAATGAAAAGTTAAATTGTTTAATATAAAAGATAAAGTATACTATATACAATTCTCGTTTTTTATTTTTTTTTATTTTCTATTTGTGGAATTAAAGTTTTCATAAAGTACGCTTGTAAAAATGGCTGTCAGAAATTGTTTAGAAAATAACATAGATAGAAATGAGTCAAGTGAAGGAAGAAACAACATTGGTAACGCGATTATTTATTTATTTTTAATATCCAGAACTCTCTTGGATATATATATGAATATATATATATAATCTTCATTTCTACTTCTTCCTCTCACTTTTTCATATATATATATATATATATGAAAAAGTGAGAGGAAGAAGTAGAAATGAAGATAGAAAGTAACCTGTTTTCAGTCCTACCAATGCTTGAGTTGTATCACTTGTGTTCACATAACTTCAGAGTAGAAATGATAAAACAAGTAGTTACATATATATATATGCAATATCTACTTAGGTGCATTTGCATTAGATGTAATTTGGTTTACATTTAAAATGATCAACATTCCTAATGTAAACATTAACAACGAATATAGTCCATTTCAAATTGTAAGGAAGGAAAAAAGAAAAAAACAAGAAAAATAAAAAGAAGATAAATTTGTAAAAGTATATTTAATTAAATATTATAAATATGTATGAGTCAGATCAGGGGGTCGGCAACCTGTGGCTCGCGAGCTACATGCGGCTCTTTGGATGTGAATTTGCGGCTCTTTAGTTAAAAGAGTCTGAAATCGTTCTGAATTGATTAATGAGGAACCGATGAATAAATAGATTAATCTTTTTTTTTTTTATCAAAAAGATTTATTTATGCGAGTTATGCGAGTACTATTTATTTTGTTAGCAAGAACAAATTTTGTGGCTCATTAAATCATTGACATTTTGTAAATTGTAATTTTTGGCTCTTCCGACTCAAAAGGTTGTCGATCCCTGAGTTAGATGAATATCGTAAATGATATATACGAAGGGTGTACATCGACCTTACAGGAAAATAAAATGCGTATAATAACCGTAAAAATTAGTCTTTCATCGTAGACAGAGGATATTTTCCAGGTATATAGAAACGTCGTCATATATACGCAACAAATATATGGTATCCGCAACATTATCGCTTGAAGAAGGAACATATACTCTGTAAACATTAAACTAGCCATTTGCGTATGTCATCGAACCGCGACATGTGTTACCAAGCCCAGAGACTAACAGATAATCGATTTTATGCGAACTACTTGTTGTAACGATATTTAAAAAAGAAAACATATTTTTTACTTCATTGCAGTATAAACTAACTTTTCTAATAATTATTATTATCATCATCATCATCATCATTATCATCATCATCATCATCATAGTTAAAGAATGACGACGATGTAAGTGACACTTTTAGAAATCGTCGTAGGTGTGTTTAGAAGAATTACACGTACAACACGTTTATTACTATGACACGTAAGCATCCCAACATAAACGCAATTATATACAAAGA